GGCCAGCACGTCCCTTCACTGCCAACTCTCTCCAGCGTCGCTGACTCCGCGTGACATTTGTCTCTTCTGTGCAAGGTCAGCAGTGGTGAGCAGGGCTCGCAGCAAGGGAGTCAGGGGCTCAGGATAACCCGCCTTTGCCTAATGGGCACACACAGGCCCTACCTCCCAAAGGAGGACAGTGGCTGCCTGGGGGAGATGCTGTCAGGGTAAATGCTGCCCAACTTCAGCTGCTGGGGAGAGGGAACATGTCCACAGCTCACATCTTTTTTTATCAAGCAAATAAATAAATAAAATTTCCGAGGCCTGCGGTAAATGCCAACGTTATATGTTTTATTTTTAATCAAGTAATTCTTTTAAACCTCACAATATCCATGACCGACAGGAAAAAAAAAGACATTAGGTATGAAATGAAAATATAAAATACATGATATGTAGAAAGGCAATCAGTGCTTTAGTCCCTCAAGACAGTAAACAGGTGAAATGACCTTGAAAACTTCAACTCACTGTCTTTTTTTCTTCTAAAACATAAAATTCAAGTGATTTTTTCTTTTATTTCACCTTGTAAACAACATACAAGTCAAAATGGACAATGAGGTAATCTATACTACAGAAGATAATTTAAAAACACTAGATAAGACACAGTATTAAAGACATATAGAAATCAGTGTTCACTTTGGTCTCTAGTATGGTTACTGTTATTATTACCACAAGCAACACATACTAGTTTAAGCCAGTCTGGTGATGTTCGTCAGCCAGTTGTTGCTTAACTTAGTAATCCAAGAGGTAGTCAAAACCATTATCCTTTGTAAAGCTGGTTACTCTTACATTTAGTTTAATGACAATGGTAGCAAATACCTTGGTACTCATCCACATTCTCATAAAAACACTACGAGAACTGCTAACGTACAGCTCTGTTTCAGGATAAAACAGAAATGTGTGTTCATAGATCAACCTCTTATTATTAGTCTACAGTTATAACAGGGATAACACAACCAACGTTTCTTAAAGAAGAGGCTGTTGATATACTAAGCAAAATAAGATTGATGCATTTAACAAGGCTCTGCTTGTTTCTAAAACAATAATCAAATCTCATTAAGACTTCTAGAAAATTAAAATCAGTGCATCTGCACACGTACATATCTTCCCAATTACTTTTATATCTAGCACAGGGGAATACATATATATTTTTTATGATAAACATTTCTTACAGATAAATTAATTAAATTAAATTTAAGACTCAGTGAGATTTCCCATGTTCTTTTATAATTCTGCTTACAAAGAATGTTACAAGATCTATAAACACTTTTTATGGGGCTCTATGCACAAAACTAAGTATGAGTAGGAACTCCAGCACTGGGTGCAAAGCAAAATTGAACTGAAAAAAATGGCCTACGAAGGGAAGAGTAAAGACCCAAATGTCTTGTTTGGCACTCCCTGAAAGCTGTCTAAAAGTAAAATATTTTAGATGATAACGTAGTGCCAAATTTGCCATCAGCCAGAATAAAAAGTTATTTGGCTCTTCCTCCAAATATATGTCTTTCTGATAGCCTCGTTTTTGTAGTATCTAGTATATGCCATTAAATCTCTTTGAGGGAGAATAAAAAAAAATCGCACCATGTGCCTTGTGATTAAATCAAATTGAATATTTTGGGCTGGGGGAATGGAAGGGAGAGATACTCTTGTTAGAGGTTTAACCTTATCTCCAGTATTGTTAGGAGAAAAATAGATCTCTCGGAGCAGAAATTTCAACTATTTCTACTCAAGCTAGTTTCATTGTGAGGCATTCTGGCAAGGGCAGGCTGGTGAATAGGGGAAATCAGGGCTCAGCCAAGCTGCAGAATATTAATTTCATCCTTAGATACAAAGGAAAAATTCCAAACTCAAGTCAGTGCCTCCTCCTGTAAAGGACACTTTGCTTATTTGGAGCAGCCTATTGAAGGAGTATAATTATATTTTTCTAGAGCAGCCCAGTGCTAAGTAGTTACCTGCCACAGCTCATGCTGCTATGTGTTCAACTTATGCATGTATGTTTTTGTCTCTTTTTGGAGATTTATTTATTTTTTGTGAACAGTGCCCATATTCCTTTAGACAGAAAAATAAAAACTTTTGAAGAAATGTTTGGAGATTTCTCATAATTTCAAATGGATGCTTCATCTTAAACAAGTATTTGCCATAATGTATGCAGTGGTGAATTACCAGTTACATATTTAGTACAGATAAAAAGTATGTACCATAGATCAACAGCCACCTTTAAGGCCAGAGCAGCACAAAGGTGTGTTTATGCAGTAAATATGAGGTAGCGTTTTGCTGTAAACAGAATATTAACTTTATTGTCACCTATGTAAACAAAGTGGGTTTGACGTTTTTCTGTTTTTGTTTTCGTCCCCCCACCTCTCTCCCTTCCCTTCTAGAAAGGCTGAGCCCCAAAAGCTCCAACTGGAAGTCTGTGGGAGCTGTGGTTGCCCAGCCTCTCTGAAAACTCAGACCCTGTGAATATAGAGACACAAATGCTCACATAAGCAACCAATGCAGAATACCACTTCTCCATTTCACAGGAACTTAGAATACAAAATGCTGAAATCTGATCATCAGAAATGTAGGTCTATGTCAACTCAGAGGTAGTTACTAATATCAGTACATAATACTTATACAGAGATAAAAAGGTCTAAGTCTATTTGGTTTGTTCTGAGTAAGCAGGTCGGTAGACTATTCTGTAAAGAAAACACAGCATCACATGGTATATTCCCTGAGCAAAGTTCTTTGTCCTGAGTATGTTATGTAATAGTGATAACATTCTACTATATAAAAATAAAACCTTAAGCTTTCAACAATAAGATAGGGTTTGGTATGTGCTCTTAGCAGTTCAGTCTGACATTGGTGCGCACAATGATTTCAAACAGCACCACTAAAAATCTGCATGTTGAAATTATTTCCTTATCTCAGCTCTGAACTTCTTACATATAAACAGGGAATGACCAGTTTTCAAATCCACAATTGCCTATTTCTATAAGGAACTTTGGTTTAAATTTTCAAAGTGACCTAAGTTTTGCATCTTTGCTGTTTAACCTGGTTTTTACACCGGCTAGAAGTTTAAGCAATGCCACTTTGATTTGTCTACATAATTTAAATAAGTTTACTATCCTTACATAAGGCAAGGAAGTTCTCTATAGATATATCACATTCAATATCGTCAAAGGTAAGCTTTGCATTAGCATACTGAGAACTTCAGTATAAACCATCGAGATTCTCACAAACACTGGCAAGGAATTCACACAAAATAATTCTCTTGAAATCGTGCCCTTCGCTGAGGCATTTGATTACTACCTCTTTACTGAAGCAGCAGCAGCAGCAACAGTAAAAGTCTCCTCTGGCAGGACAAATGGGAAGGGGGAGGCCACGCACGGAGCCAGCCGCGTACCTGTGGTAACCGCCGGCTGCGCAACAGTTACCACAGACAGGACTCGGGCTCCCTGTAGCCCTTCGCAGGCTGCTTCTTGATTATCTGAGCTTAAACCTACCTGACTCTTTCAAGCTTTAACAGTCTATGTTTATTGCCAATGTTAAGGATTATACAGGTTTCTCTAATTAACTTACGTCTGCAATGGGATTTGTCAAAGTACGTTATTTTCCGTATGACTTGCTAATCGAGACGTTACAAATGGGACATGACTTGAAGTTTTGATAGGCTCCAACTCCATTAACCCCGAGCAAGGGCTGCAGCCCAGGGAGCCTCGCTCCGAGGCCACCAATCCCTCTCGTCTTTAATGAAGCGTGTGGTCCCAGCGCGCACCAGACAAAGGCTGCCCCGCAACGGCTGCCGGTTGGCAAGAGGCAGACCATGCCCAGGGCTTCGGGCAAGTCTGCTGCTCCCTGCACTGAAGCTGCTCTGCAGCAGGCGCCTGTTGTTCTTCACCGTACGCGTGCCGTAACGTCACGGGAGGCTGGCCGAGCAACTGCAAGTACCCATCTACCGTTATTCTTAAAGCATTATTTATCCCAGGATCATATTAGCTTTGCATTCATTTTTCTCAAAACAAAACAAAAAAAACAGACAACAACAAAAAAAATCCCTAGGGAGTTCTCTCCATGACCTTTCATAGTAAACAAGGGTAAATCCCTTCAAATCAATGGGGACTACTTGGGACCAAAAGAAGTTGCTGCTGCTGCTGCCACCATCACCAAGGTCCTCTAAACTTTCACAGAATACAGCGGGGTAAACAGGATGGTATCCTGCTTCCACTCAGAAGGGTCTGTAACGACTTATACATTCTCCCCTACACAACAGTCATCTACATTACAATTATAACCATATTAATTTAACAAAACATTTTGAGAAACCAGCACAGAAACTACACATTCATTGTCTTTCCTGGAGCTTTAAACTCCTCATCAACAAAGGATCGTGGCAATGAGAGCCATATTCACTCATGATACTGCCCTTCACAGGCACGAGGAGGGGAAAGGCATTGATACTTCATAGGTATGAGAAAGAAAATAACTCAAATTGATGCTGTGGGGATGTCTTAGTATCTTTAGTACCATATGGCAGCTTTAGAATATGAAAGTATCCTTTGGTTCAAAAGAAAAGCAACAGTCTTGATCTTAGTTCTGTGTGTGGTTTTTCAGGTTTGGTGTGGTTGTGTGAGAGATTTCTTGGATTTTCTTGTTTGCCTTTTTTTTTTTGAGTGTGTTTGAAAACAGTTTCTAAGAATGAGTTCAGGAACATTTTTGGATATGGTATCTATTGCTTCACAATAATGTATTGTGCGAGTTGGAGAGTGTTCAATGAAAAATATATATATTTATAGATATGTACACATACACACACACACACGTGCACATTCATACACAAGCACACAGAAGGTAAAACTTAACACACCCTGATCATATGTATTTTGCTTGGAGTGATTTATCTATTAAAGAAAAAAAAAATTCACAGTTCCTCAACAGTAGTTAAAATTCCAGGTCAGCTACTGATAATGAAATAATTTCCCCTGTATTGTATGAGGTAGACATCCCAAGAGGATAAAGAAAATGGAAAGTTATGACAAAAGCTCTTAAGTTTTTTTCCTTTTTTGAACAGAAGGCCCCTTTCTGCTTGGTTCTTCGGGTGATGCAGATAACTTACTTGAAGAAGCTTCCTGTGGCGATCTGCCTGACCGCTCTGAGAGCTCTGACCTTCCCTCCTGAGAATATGATGGAGATGAATAGCTGTACGTTGCTCCCCCTTCTCTCAGGACAGCAGAAGTGGAAGGCTGCGATTCAGCTTCATGTCTTCCCTGAGAACTAGTGGGCTGTTGTGAAACAGTTTTATGGGGGCAGTTAGCCACCATGTGCATGATGCTCTGACAGTAATGGCACTTCTTTGGCTGTGGAGGTAGACTACATTCTTTAGCGTGATGATCAAGGCCACCACAGTTGTAGCATCTGAAAACAAAGACAGACAGCTGGTTACAAAATGCAGCATCAAATTGTACCATTTTCTATGTACTGTAAACTTAGCATGGACGTGCACAGGATCTGCAGGTAAAACAGTAAGAGCTCCTGCACTGATATTCCATTGCCATGGGCTAACATATATCTCACCTGTGCTTTCTAAGTCACTTGGAATGAACTCCTCTGTCACATCGCTGTCAAAAAAATACCTTTCATTCAGGATTGGATTCTGTTACCATCAATCATGTCAGTTATGACCTTTCTTCGTAAACTCTTCACTGCCCAAAACCAATTGCAACAGATCCTCACGTTTTTACCAAGACCTGTCTACTGACTGGTAAGGGCTAAGTCAAAGACATCTACAAATGCAACTAGTGCCTAACGATGCCTTTCTGAAAGTCTTTAAATGCCTCACTACCCTCAGCTGTCTATAAACTGAGCCCATGCAACCCAAGGACAACAATGCAGGTGTCCCACTGTGTAAGGGTCATCAATCAGCAGCACTGCGCAGCTACACCAAAAAGAAAACACCCCTGTTTGTTTGTTAGACACTTTTTGTTTCATGCATACCTCAGCAATAAGATGTTAAAATCCTGAATCCCCACTTGTAGTTCTTATGAAACTACAGAAGTATTTTTTCCCCCACTTCACCCCAGAACCTCTGGCAACGTCACAAAGCAGAGTCCTGGTAACACGTGTCCCACTAGAGGGCACCAAATATCCAAATATCCTGCCGTGCCGCAAGCATTTCTATTTACTCGAGTATTTATAACATCACACTCATTTGAGTGCCGATATTTCAAATGACTGACGTGACTTATTTCAGAAAGGGGAGGAGAAGAAGCAGTCACTGAGGGCCTTCTCCTACATCTGCCCAGAGAGATGGGTTCTGGTCTTCACACTGCGAGTTGTCGCATCAGGGAGGTAAGAAAATACTAACAGTGAAGATACTCAGCCTTCCCTAGTGATGTACCTCAGGCTCTAGCAAGTCTTTCCAAAAGGACATGCTGCTTTCAAGGAGGGGAACCCAAATGTGGAGAAGATGGGTGACATTACTGGGAGGATGGAGATAACGTGGGGCAGGAGGAGCTCCTCTACTGGTCTTGCCTGGCAAAGGAAAGGCCTGCATGGAAGATGGAGGTAATTTGGGGGATCTTATGTCCTACTTGCAATAAGGCTGCAACAGACCCATCTTCTGCAAACAGAGGTTTCCTCGGGGGAGAAGGAACCCTGGACACATGTCCTTCTCTCCTCAGCTTCCCAAGGCTCAGGGAAGAAGGCGGGACTCTGCAGCTTTTCCTTCCCGTTCACCTCCACCCCAAGGGCCCACCACTGCTGAGGGACTTCATGTGGCAGACGCAAACGGTGCCTTGGTGGCAGCACCTGACCTGGGGCCTCGCTGTGCTAAAGCCAATTCTCCACGTAGGTGCACGCGCAAAAGCCGACTGCTCTAATAAAAGATCTTGCCTAAGTGCCCCAGGCTGGCATCTTCCGGCACAGATAAGGCCCGATAAGGGAAAGGAGGAAGCTAAACTTTCACAGTGCTTGTATTTCAGAGGGGTAGTAATAGCTTTTACGGTTTCAAATCAAAACAAAATAAATAAAGCTTTTGCAAGGGTCATAAAATGGGGTTTGTTTGTTTTCTCTTGAAATTCCCAAACCACATGCAAGTGGTGGTGATCCTGCGTGTCCTCTTCAAGAGCGTCCCTACCCAGAGGCGGACAAAGCGCAGAGCACTTACTCCACAGGGCTAGGAATCAGTGAAGACTTTGTTTTTGCCGATTTAAAAATGGCTAAAATATAAATACTCCTTTATTCATCTTGTTAACCTGGGGAATCTTAATGGAATCTTGAACAACTTACTGTATAATGTGAATTTATAACACATGCTAGGTATGTGAATCCTTAAAATACATTATTCAAACACACACTGGAGAGAAATAATTCTAAGCTTTCGGCATGAGGATCCTATGCTGGTCACGTTCACAGCTCAGCTTTCTATAAATACTAGCCTTTCTTCTACAGTTTCTGTTTCTTTTTTTTAAATAAATATTTGCATTGAGTGTATATAAATTAAACTCATTAACATTTAACACTTTACTGAAGAGAATTAATGCAGTGATAATGAATTTTTTGGTCCTTTTCCTTAACTATCAAATAATTTAAAAAATGAGTGCACAAATACTCAATGCCCGAAGGAGTCAACTGAAGCATTCAAAAATATGTAACCATAAATATAAAATAATGTAACATGTTTCAGCTCAAGCACACATTAAAATGTTTTAATTTTTCATCTCCCTGGGAAGTAACCAAGCTCTGATCCAGTGACTACTAGTCTATGCAAAGAAATGAATTTTACCACATGGAAAACTGCATTTACGGCCAGAGTTTCACCTATGAAATATACCTTTTAAGGAAATGCATAGTTAAGATCTGCATAGTTTATAACAAAGTTGCAAAACAGCTATTAATATTTGCAAATGAAAAAACAGCTTACATCATTGCCCAAGCCATGACGTCATGCACTATAACTTAGAGTCTAATTTAAATGATATACAGAACTTCACTATCCTTTCAGATGGCACTGTAATTAAATTGTTCTATCTTTCCTTAAAATTGAAACCAAACCTATTATACTGAACTCTGCACTTACAAAGCCACTGCAATACTGTATTTCAGGTGAGCTGGTTCCATTTTTACATCACCACTGCACAAGGTTTAATGTTATCTTTCAGTGCAAGATTAAGCTTATGCCTTTCCACATATGCTATTACAGAACCCAGGAAGTTATACAGAATATGAACTTTTTCTTGAATATATACATCTATATTTACAAGTCCAGTTGGTCTCTCAGCAAGGAAAAAACAAATATACAACAATTTCAACCTAAGACCAAAGTAATAAAGTTTTTTTTTCCCCTGTATGTTAAAAAATGTGTTGTTATTAAGTATTATTCATCTGATTACTTTTTTCAAAATCAATGTATTTATTTTCACATTAGTGACATGGCTTAACAGCAGTATGCAGACTTAACAGCTATTCTGCTATGATTTTCTGGCAAGCTTTCTATATATCTTTTGGAAAAAACAATAAGGAAGTAAAACTTGCAACTGGAAAGAAAAAAAAACAAGGCAAAGCAAAAAAAAAAAAAAACCTTCAAGTGTTTCACTTGCTTGCCGCAGATAAACACATCTAGGAATTTACAAAAGTGGTGTTATAATTGAGACTGTAACAAAGAATGGTGCTTATTAATATCTTGCTTATTTGATTCAAGTAGTGTACTAAAAGAAACTTGTTCATTGGCTTTTTATCTAAAAGTAGGCTATTACAGGAGTGTTCAGGCACTCTGGAAATCTTGCATTTTATCTTAATGCAGACAACAGAATTTTATAGCTCTAAATACATTTGTGTTTGCTTCCTTCTCTTAATGCCACATTTATCTAGTGGATTTAGAAAAAGAAAAGTTTGAAAATAGGCTAGAGAATAGGCAGCAGCCATGGACAAATTAATGTAATCAGTCACTATGGTATGCGCAGTGCTATCCAATTCAGTGAACCATTTCACCTCACCAATTGACCAAAAACCTGCTGTCAGGGCCCCTGTTTCCACTCAAGAGGCCTCAGTCACCTTTTGCACATATATTTATCACTACATCCTACTTGCATTTACTCAAATCACTGGAAAAAATGTCACCAGAAAATAAAACTCTTCTCAGAAGCAGTCATAATTAAAAAATGATTTGGCTTTTCAGTGATGTTTTTGTCACCAGACAACTGAAGCATCTGGCTGAAGTGTTGCATTAGAATATATATGTGCTAGCCTGGGTGTGCCTGGACTTAAACAGGAGGGTGGCATTTATTCAGTTCTTTTAACTATTTATTCATCCCTTGTCAATCACTCTTACCAGGAGAGCACATCACACCCCGCTCTGAAATGCCTTCCCTCTCAAGGGATTTTCGCCAAAATGGAAATGGTCAAACCACCTTGGAGCTCACAAATGATACCACATGGCATCATCCATGCACATGGAGATATGGAATTAACCCTTTTGTTCAAAACGCTGCGACTCTTTGCTTGTCTCGGCCGTATAATCTTGCATTACAACATAATGAAACCTGATCGGATATGCGTACGCAGGCGTCTCTGTACACAGAACAATACAGAGCAGGCTGCTGCCCACCAAGAAAATTAACACGTGCTCATTTGAATAGGTTTGCAGAAAGTCTAAATTAGCAAAATTTTAATATTTATTCACTGCAGAAGCACCGTGGAAATAATGAACGTTAGCTTAGATGCTTTAAACATAGAAGTATATATAAAAATTACATAATGAGATGAGTAAATCACCAAAAAAGCCCTTAAAAATGCAGTTACAGTAAAAGTATCCTTTTAAAAAAAAAGCCTCAGCAAGAAATATTTGCTAAAAAAAGCAAGTCTTTTCATAGCAGGCTTTTATAATTTACCAGGTGGCTTTCATGACTGAAAAGCAACAAAAAGAAGTAGATAAAGAGATGGCAATTACCCTAACTGGAAATCCTTTCCATGCTGAAAGAAAGGTGGAGCAGGACTAGATCTTGATATGAAAAGGATGCATGTTTTAATGAAAGGAATACTTTGAAGAACTTGTCTAACTTTATATCACAATATCCAGAAGCACCTAAAAAAATATCAGCAAGAAAACAGCAGCGTCAGCACCTACTACCGCAGAAAGAGAAGGCCTACAACAAGGCTAGAAACGCTTTTTTCTCATGAATTGTTTGGGGTTTGTTACTACACTGACTACTATACGTATTACAAAGCATATATAAACAAAAAGCCTATAGAACCCACTGCAAAATACAGTATATTAATTGTAATAAGTCAGTGAGTGAAATATTTGATTTTAGAAGTAAATGCAAGGTAAAATTACACCCCAGTCTTCAGCTTTCTTTCGTTTTCTGAGATGTCAACCCCTGCCTAGGAAGCACTCACTAACCCTGTCATTTTTAAAG